ATTATTAATTATACAAATCTATCGATTTAGAATCTGTTCTAGATATGGGATTTTTAAGATAAGGAATATTTTTTATTTAATATTCAATCTCAAAATACGAATTCCGGTAAAATTTATATCAAAACAGTAAAACAAATTATATATATATATATATATATAAACTTTAACAACTTTATTTAAACTTTATATATAACTTATTTAAAAATTCATTTTTTTAATGAAATTTATTTTGTTTATTTTTTTTTTCTGTATGGGTTAAAAAAGTTTAAGAGACATAACTACAGATATTAAGTCTTTTTCTCATAAAGACTTAATAAATATTAGTCATTATTAATATAAATTAAAAACATATTAATCATTACAGATATTAAATATATATTTTTTTTTCTAATGCAGCTGGCAAACAGACATGGACGTCTTGGATGCCTTAAGGCAAGCGCTGCACAGACGTTACTCACTTTGCATTACCCAGGGCGCGTGTAACTTGATGATAAGCTACGGACGCGGAGTAACAATGCCCCCTCAACGCTCTACGATCCTATTAGGACCAGGACCTACGGTTTAAAGTGGATTCCGAACCATTACAAATACCCATGGGCAAAGCCGGGATTTGAATCCGATACCTGTGGTACCGAACGCCAGAGATATTAAATATTAATATTATTATAAATATCATAAAGACCAAATAAATATTAGATAAATAATATTATTATTTACTTAATAATTATTTATTTAATAATTATTAGAATAAATATTAGATTTAATAAACATTATTTATTCATTCTTACAGTTTCAAAGAATTGGAGGTTATTAAAATAATATATATATCGTCCGTTTGCCAGAATGATTTTAAGCTAAAATTATTTAATTTTCGGACATCAGGATATATTAACAGAAAATATCCCTTAGATTTTATGATGCAAATAGCGGTAAGGAAAAAAAAAAATTAAGTTTGAAAATCGTGATATGAAGGAAATACATTTTTTTATTAGTTAATCTGTATTGATATATTTGTGTTTATTAAAAAATAAGCTTAATCAATTAAATAAGTACGGTAAACAAACAAAATTGCCTCTATATCACCAGAATTTATATAGCGAACATAATAACTGTCAGATTAACACTGATATTTATAACAAATTTTATTTGTTTATTTAATTATTAATATTATTTTTATTTCATTATTAATAATTTTTACCTGTTATTAAGTATAGTATTCAAGTTGAAATGTATATGCTGTTTGACCTTAACAAAACAATCTCGTAACTCAACAAAAATTCACTTGTTTTTACAATAAAAAATGTGTAAATTTAATATTAATATTAAATAAAATTAATATTTTAGTGACCGTATTTAAATTAGAGGTTTTTAGCCGATTTTAAAAAATATGTTGGACTTCTGTATATGTTTGTAGGAAATCAATAAATTACTATGCCAAAATTTAAATTTCTTACCCTAAACGGAAAAGACGATAATTTTGATTTTTGGTAATAAAAATCTGAAAGTAATATTTTTTCTTTTTTAAAATTAAACCTTGTAACCCCGCTTCCTCTTACAGTGCCCCCTGTGGAGTTCAAATGATCAGTCGGCCTCGAGAATCTCACCGAGAGGAAATATATTTAGCGTAACCTTGCGTATTAGTTGGTATATAGATTCTCATCTGGAGAGGGAGTATATTTCGCGCCTTTCGTGCTCCTCCGAGTTTCAAGTTTTAGGCTTAAAAGTGGAGTCCTTCCACGAATCTATAATTATCTGTCTTTAAATGTGTTAAATATTGTACTTTTTCTAATTGTATGTGTATGGTGTTTGTGCGTGTGTAAATAAATCGTGGATCTGTGATCAAACCTGTGCCTCAAATAACTCGACCAAACCACATCCAATTGCAATCTGGTTGTCCAACCCTATATACTACGACCTTTATACTAAATTAGATTTCATTTGGTCCAACAATTTTTTTTACAATCGGATTCTAAACACTTCTGTTACAATTTTGATTACACTGTATAAAAATATAAGTATGATTAGTACAGTTTATACTGATTATTTATACTTACGCTATGTCTGGGGAGAAGAATATGACAGTTGGAGGTAAGTTGTAGATGATTGTCAATAAACCTATGACCATTGCACATATGGCTGTTATAAAAAACAGCAATGCAAAACCTGCAGCGGGCCATCTGCATATATAAATACACGGTTATTATCAATCAGTTTGTATTTATCATTGAAAAAATATAATATAGATAAATATTTCTTTATAAATTATTTGAAATAATTGTTACGAGATATGACTATTAAAAATTTTAATAAATTGATGAAAATTCATTTAATATAACGAATAAAATTAGTAGATTGAATCATTTTAATAAGATGATTTTCATTTTTACAATAATTATTAAAAATTAAATTATTATTTCAAGTTTTGAAGACAAATACAGGATACACACAATTCATTGTATCTCAAGAAAAAAAAAACCTATCGACTTGACTATTTTAACATTGATTTTAAGCTTATAAGATTTCAAAATTGGAGAAGTATTCCTGTGTTCAAGAAGGAACTAACTCATGGGCAGAGTTTGGATCTATTAAAGATTGCCATGACATTGGAGAGGGTAATTAACACAATGCTGAGTTGGATGCCCAAATTATATTCTTTTTAAACAACGACCACTTTTTAAGTAACATAGAATGATGGTAAAATCTTAAGACAATTATAAATTTTACTACCTATTTGATAAAGAATAAATGAAATGGATATTTAATGGAGAATTCAATGATAGTCAGTGATGAATTTTTTTATTCATCAAAATTATTATTAAGAAATATCAAGAAGAGTTTTTGGATTGATCTCTAATAAATGGCTTGGCAATGGATAGAAGAATTTCCAATTTGTACAATGTAGCTTTATATCTTTGTATGGCACTAAGGGATTGCAGATGGTAATTGAGTAGAGGTTCAATATCCAGACTTACATGACTTGACTATTTTAACATTGATTTTAAGCTTTTAAGATTTAAAAATTGGAGAAATATTCCTGCGATCAAAACGGAACTAATTTATTGAGAGCGTTTGGATCTATTAAAGATTGTCATGCCATTGAAGATGGGGATTAACATAATGTTGAGAGTTTGAAGTCCAATTATCTTATTTTAAACAACGGCCACTTTTTAAGAAAAAGAATCATGGTAAAGCCTTAAGATATATCATAAATTTTATTACCTATTTCATAAATGATAAATAATAGGGATATTCAGTGGAGAACTTAATGATAGTCAGTGGAGAACTTTTTTATTAATGATTAAGAAATATCAAGAAGAGTTTTTGGATTGATCCCCAACAAATGGATCGGCAATGGATACAAGAATTTCAAATTTGGATAACGTAGCTTTATATCTTTGTAGGGTAGTAAGAGATCGTAGATGGTAATTAAATAGAGGATTCAATATTCAAATTTACATTATTTGATTATTTTAACAATGATTTTAAGCTTATAAGATATAAAGATACTTCGTGTGGGTCGGGTTAGAATAGCCTCACTGTAGCCCATGCATATTGTAAAAGACGACTAAAAAGGGGTACTCAGTGCTCGGGGTATAGCCGGGTGGGGTAAGTCAGCCGTCTCCCTTTGGATGCCCCACGCCTTTTTGCTGCAAGCTCAAGAACAAAAAAGATATTGCATTTTTTTACCCTTTATCATGACTCGTTACGGGTTCATAGACTTCATCTAGATGTTGCTGTCGTGATGGGATAATAAACAACAACAGATCTAAAAATTGGAGAACTATTCCTACGATCAAGACGGAACTAATTCATTGATAGTGTTTGGATCTACTGAAGATTGCCATGCCTTTGAAGAGGGTGATTAACGTAATACTGAGTTGGAAGTCCAAATAATCTTCTTTTTAAACACCGGTCTAATTAGCGTGCACAAAATGACCGTAGAGCGATAAACCAAACCAAACCGAATCTTTTTAAACAACGACCGCTTTTTAAATAAAAAAGAATCATAGTAAAGCCTTAAGACAATCATAAATTTTACTAACTTTTTGAAAAATGATAAATAAAAGGGATATTCAGTGATAAATTCAGTGATTTTTTATTTTTAAGCATTCTCTATTGCTTTTAAGGAGAATGAATAAAAAAAATTTATAAATGAATATGTTGATCTATTTTTTTCCATCTCATTTACCTGTATAGGACACCCAAAACTAATGGCGCAACACAGTAGAAATGGATGTCTGAAGCAACATACCAAGTATGGAGGAGACACTATAAAAAGAAAAAAATGCGTCCTTTGTAAAATTAATGAAATGTAATTAATAATTTATTTTCAAAATAACATATTTAAAAATATTACCATAGAGCTGAAATCCACCCAAGTGTTGATTGGAAGCAACACTTGCCACCAATTCTTTTCACAGTTGAGAACTTTCTGACCAGCCATGTCAGCCCATAGTGGACCAGAACCAATCAGTGGTAAAATGAACATAATTCCAACAGTAGCTGCGAGTGGAGGAATAAGCCTGAAAATAGTTTACAACTTTCAGGATATTCGATATTGAAAAACTACGAAAACATTCATGGAAACAATATGGTCGATATATATATAAAATTTTTAAAATATATAGTCTGATATTTTTAAAATCAAATTAAACCCATAAATTTTAGCTTAAAAATATTGTTTGAAGTGGCAACCATTATTTAATAGTTACCATTATTGTTGTTGTTGTTTCTTATCCCAGTTGGCTGGCCAAGCCCACGAGCCCATACGTACTCATGATTGAAGGGGAAGGAAGCAGCTTCTGTTGTGATGGAGCACCCGTAGGTAGAAGTCTGACTTTGGCTCCGTGACGCTCTTACAGTCATAGGAGACCGGGACCTACGGCTTAAAGTGGATTCCGAACCACTACAAACATCCATGGCACCGCCGGGATTCGAACCCGGCACCGAGCGCCAGAGCGCTAGACACTGGCCATTCAGGTCCCAAATTTGTGAATGCCAACGGCACGCGGTGTTCCCAGGTGGTCACCCACCCAAGTACTGACCGCGCCCAATGATGCTTGACTTCGGTCTTCGTCAACCTCAAGTTCATCCAGCCATCCTTGCAATTCATTTTTGTGCATCTATGACCAACACAAGAACTTTTTCCTTCTACTTCAAAGAACATTCCACCACTTTATGGTTTTCTTACTGAACTCTCACACTGTGGTCATCCCATCTTTCTCCGTAAGTAACTGACTTTCACATTTGACTTTTGTACAGCACACAGTGACTGTTTCTTCATTTACACCACAAACTTTGTTATTTTCTTTTTCTCACTTCTGACCTTTGATTTATTTTCTATTTTTTTTCTCTGTTTATTAAGAGAATTTTTAATCGCTCTTCAAACATTGTAAATATCTTTGTAAATTTGCTTTTCACTGCACATACCGCATCCAGATGGCAGCACACGCTGACACTTTTTCTTGTATTCTCTCATCTTTGTACAGTTTACCATCAGTATTTTGTATATATTCTATCTTATAAAATCACCTGTTGTGCGTTATATTACCCACCTTATGGATGACTTTCTCTTGTATTCCCTTGTGTAACTTTCCTTTTATTTTTAAATAAATCCGTGTTCTCGTATATGATGATATGTGTCCTCGCTGTTCGTATTTTTTGTCTCTTATGATTTACACCTTTTCTCACTTATTAGAAAATGGGGCTTAAAGCTATCTGTGTCTCTCTACTATATGACGAGAACCGATATTGAATTCTTGTTATATTGATAAACTACAAAAACGATGATATTGAATTCCATGGAATCAAAAAACGTATGGAATCAATATGTCGATATATATATAAATATTAAAAATATAAAGTCTCATATTTTTAAAATTAAATTAAACCCATAAATTTTACCTTAAAAAATATTGTTTGAAATGGCAACAATTATTTAATAGTTTCGATTTTTTATTGAAGAGATAAATATGAGTCTTGATATAAAAAATATTTAATATGTAAATATATGATATGTGTCTCGATATGATATGATAATATTTGTCTTGATATAAAAAAATCTATAATATGTTAATATATGATAATATGTGTCTTGATATTGAAAAACTACGAAAACGTGCATGGAAATGATATGGCCGATATATATATAAATTATAAAATAGTCTGATATTTTTAAAATTAAATTAAACTCATAAATTTTCTAATAAAAAATTTTTGTTTCAAATGGCAACCATTATTTAATAGTTTCGATTTCTATGGAATAAATAATATGTGTCTTGATGATTAAACAAGATAATATATGTTGAAATGATTCTTGACTTGTTTTAATAAAATCTTGTTTACGTTTCAGTATCTTACACGAGATTGATTCGATTAAAATAAATGGAGCAGTAAATATCACGCTTTTTTTCAATTTTTCTTTTTTATAGTGTAACTGGGGCTTTTTGTGCACAGGAAATTTGCCATTTAAAATTTTTAATGGTGTGACTAATGTGTTTTCCGCAAGCACTAATAAAACGCATATAAAAATGTTATTTTCATAAAAACCTTGGTGCTGCCATCTATTGTTTAATATTCAAAATAATTTTTACATAAATAAAATATAACACAGATTAAATTTTGAAAAATCTTGAGAATAAGAAAATAAATCTTAAATAAAGAAAATAATTAAAAATAAAAAGTAATAATATACTATATTTTGAATTTTTATAATATACACTCAAGAGCCAAAACATTATGACCACCCCTACATTTTGCAATGAACTCGCCTGGATGACGTGGAAGGCACGTGATCAGGTGGAAGTGGTATTCAACTGGTATTAAGTGATGGTATTAATCCATGCCAAGGCGGGTTGAAGCTGTGTTGCGCGCCAAAGGTGGGCCAACTCGTTATTGACAGCTGGTCATAATGTTTTGGCTCTTGAGTTGTATATGTATATTTCAAATTTATTAACTGGTGCATTGTTTCTAAGTTCCAAAGACACATAAGTCTCGAAATCTTTGATAAGAATTAATGCATATAATAATAATTTGCATGATTGTTTAAATTAAGGTCGATTTAAAAAAAAGAAGATTATGGGACAAAGAGTGAAGCAATTTTTTAAAAATAAATCTAAAAGTATTTTAAAAGGCAGGAAATAGGCTTCTTAGATTTTATTAAGAATTGATATGTAAGCAATTTAAGTATTGGGTGAACCAAAAATCACTGAATTTTTTAAAAAAATTCATAAATAATGAATAAATCACTGTATAAAGATGGAGTTTGTACTAAAATCCATGTTAGGAATTAGGATTTTTATTGTCATAAAACAGAAAATAGTTTCTTTTTTGATCAATAAGTAGTGTTTATTGCAGATACATACACTTGGGGAATGATATTTTGAAAAAGGAATATGGCATTTTATCAAAAAAATGTCGTCCTACTCCCCTCAGAAGAGATTTAACCAAAAACCTAGCCATATATTGACTGTGTATGCGTATCTCCGCATTACCATTCGTTCAATGTGTCCAATAGCGCAAAGAATCACATTGTGAATCCTTTAATCGTTCACACAATGCTCGATAAAATCTGTAGACATTAGATTAAGATGCTCGATAAAATCTGTAGACATTAGAATTGATTTTATAGCAATTTTATTGTATACATTTTTAATATATCCATATTTTAATTATGATACAGCAGATGGGACGCTGAACTACTTCCGTAACTTCAAATAGCTCCAAACCAGAAATTCATGAATATCAAAACCGGCTATCGAGTATGCCGAGATAGAATGAGTTTCTAATCAGTTAATGAACTAGTTGAAAAAGGCTGCAAAATGTGAACATTCTTTATCACATTTTATATGAACATTCTTTATCAGATTAAATATATGCATTCTCAAAAAAATTAGTAAACATGGTACCATTTAGAAGTTGAGTGGACAAAGTTCTTATAAACGTTATGTAATTTTTATATCAATGCTTCAGTAATGCAGCGCCATCTATCGGGGAAAAACTAATTTTTCTAAAGGAAAAACAAAACATCATGACATTTTGGGCAAACTGTATCCTCACATAATAAATGCATTTTTAAAAACTTAGCCCCTTTTGATTCAGCCCTTATTATTCTATTTGGTACTTACGTATTAACGGTACCTTGGCGACAGTTGCGCCAATAAAGAGCACACGCGCCAACCGCAGCTACAGATTTGGCGTTTTTAATGGCACCAATCTATTCTATTGGTTTGGTAACCTTAGTAGCTGTTAGATCGGCGACACTTAAAACCGCCAAGTCTGACGCCAAGATACCGTTAATACGTAAGTACCTTCTATTTCAATATTTTTAAGGAAAATGAGAAGATAAATGTCTTCTAGTAGGAATTTCAATAGAATGATTATAATAATGAGGATAAACACACCATGGAATATTTGAAAACTATTTTTCGTTAGTAGTAAGAGATGTAGATAACACTTTTTTTTTTATAAGCATGTCAATTTATTAAATATACTATACTAAAAAGTAATTTAAACTTTAAAGAAATAAAAACCACTTTTAACACAAGTATAATTTACCTCCAAACTCTATGGACAAGCCGAGAAAAATAATTGATTTTTCCACCTGTGCTTTCCATGATTTTCAGATTAGAGGTTGCAACTAATAGACCCCTGCAAAATAATTTTATTAAAAAATAATACACAAATTTATCATCAAAATCAAAATCAAACCAAAAATGAAATTAAAAAGTGTAAAACATGTGTAATATTTTTAGAAATTTTAGTGTTTTATACAAAGAAATATAACAATTACGGCTATATATATACTATTTTGAATAAATCATTTACCACTATTTTAATGGGATTCATAAATATGTGTTAAAATAATTATTTACAAATCTTTGACTTTCTATGAGGTTTTATTCCAAAGTTTTCATCCTACGTTAAAAATCTAAAAAATAATCGACAGGTTTTTTATGAACGTTAAACGTATGGTCTCAATAAAGTCTTAATTATATAGTATATACACTGACTACCAATAAGTATTTGGACACCTATGCAAATGACGATATCTGTGGTCCTGAGGCACGTCACGGACTCCGCCAGTATATATCGTGTAGGAAACAGCATCGGCATTAGTCGCATGCAAGATGCCGCGCAGTTCGGAGCTCTCTGATTTCGAGAAAGGTATAATTATCGAGTATCACAAATGTGGCCGATCCTTAAGGGACATATCTAGCGATCTGAAGTACCCAAAATCGACAGTGGCCTATGTGATTAAGAAGTGGAAGGTGAGCGGATGATTGTCGGAATGTGCCCCGAATCGGCAGACCAACGAAACTGGGAGATAGAGACCGACGAGTGCTCACCAGAGAAATTCGGAAGAACCGCACCCAACCGATGGCCCTCATCCCTGAGGAGTTTCAACAGGCATCCGGGAGTATTGTTTCAATGAATACCATCCGTAAGGAAGCACATCTGCCTGGTTTTCATGGCCGTGCTGCTGCCCATAAGCCTTTAATCACAAAGTCCAACCGCGCTGCTCGGTTAATGTGGTACAAAGAACATCGAAATTGGACTGTAGATCAGTGGAAACGGATTCTTTGGAGTGACGAATCAAGGTTCACCCTTTACCGTTCGGATGGCATGGTCTGGGTCTGTCGTCTGCCTGGAGAACGTCTCCTGCCAGAATGCATTGTACCAACAGTCAAGTTCGGCGGAGGTGGAATTATGGTCTGAGGGTGTTTCTCCTGATATGGACTGGGACCCTTGGTCCCCATTCATGGTAAACTCAACGCCGATGCCTACTGTACTATTTTGGATGACAATGTGCTTCCTACGTTGTGGCAGTTTTACGGGTTGGACCCCTGTTACTTTCAGGACGACAATGCCAGTTGTCATGTTTCGACGTTAACCAAGGCTTGGTATGGTGCCAATGGAGTTCGTCGAATGGACTGGCCTGCCCAGAGCCCAGATCTCAACCCTATCGAGAACCTTTGGGACGCGTTGCATCGCCGAATTCAGGGTTGCACTACCCGTCCAAAATCGGTGAAGGAACTTCTATGTCTTCTCCAAGCCGAGTGGAAGAAAATACCAC